GGGGGGGGCATGTTAGACAGCTCCACCTCCATCCGTCAGAAGGAGATAGTCAGAGACACCTGCTGGGGAGGGCCACCCATGGCAGCAGGCAGCCATCCCTCTCCGTGGGTGTTCCTTGTGACCAGATGCAGGTGCTGCTCCAGCCCTGGCAGCCGCCCTGCTCCTCATTACCTCATCTGGCTGGGCCACAATAGAATCCTTCCTTTACATGTGGACAAGAGGAGAGGGAACCTCAGTCACTTTCAGGAAATGCTAGCCTTGGGAAAAGGTTTCCCTTCAGTTGAGGAATTCAGGGTTACGTGGTTTTGTCTGGGGATAAAAATGGCTTCTCAGAGCAATAGATAGAAATCACAGAGGCAAGGAAAAACTGACACTAAATTAAACAATGAGGGCTGTCCAGAAGGGGAATGGGCTGCCCCTGGTGGTGGGTCTCTTCTCGCTGCTCCCTGTAGGGACTGTTGTTCAGTCCCTGGCTGGATAAGATGGACCCTGAGACCCTGGGATGTTGGGATCCTTCCAGCCTTTCCTGAGCTCACTGTCCTCATAGCCCTGGTCTGGCTGCTGGGTGGGGTCCTGCTGCTGCTGCACCTGCCCAAGGTCTGAAGATCATTTTGGTTAGCTCGGGCCACCAGCACCTCCTGGGCCCTCAGTCAATAACACGTATTAAATGCCTGCTCAATGCCAAGTACTGAGCTAAGCACTGGGGATGCAAAGAAAGGCAAAAGATAGTCCCTGCCCTCAAGGAGCTTACAGTCTAATGGGGGAGACAACATGTTCGCAACCAGGTACACACAAGCTTTGGACAACATAAATAGGAGGTAATGGAGAGAAGGCACTAGAATTATGGAGAATCTGGAAAGACTTCCTGTGGCAGGTAGGATTTTAGCTGAGACTTGAAGGAAGTCAGGGAAACCAAAAGGCAGAAATAAAGAGGGAGGGCATTCCTGACATGAGGCACGGCTAGAGAAAATGTCAGGAGTTGGGAGGTGGAGTGTTTTGTTCATGAAGCAGTAAGGAGAATGGTGTCAGAGTATGTGAAGGGGTGTAAGGTGTAAGAAGACTGGAAAGGTAAGGGAGGGCGTGTTAGGAAGGGCTTTGAATGCCGAACAGAGAATTTTATATTTGATCTTGGCAGTGATAGGGAGCCATTGGAATTTAAGTGCGGGCCAGGGGAAGGGTGACATGGTCAGACCTTTGCATTAGGAAGATTACTTTGACAGCTGAATGGAAGATGGGGGACAGTGGGGAGAGAACTGTGTCAGGGAGACCAACCACCAGGTGACTGCAGTAGGGCCTGTAGACGGTCAGTGTCAGAGGAGAGAAGGGGTATATGCAAGAGACATCAGAAAGGCCCAATCAACGGGCCTTGGCAACAAATTGATATGGGGAGGGGGAGAGTTGGCAAGCCTGGGTGAGTGGGAGGTTGAGGATTCTCCACAGAAATAATGGATTTAGGAAGAGGAGAGAGATTGGGGTGGGGCGAATGATGAGTTCAGTTTGAGGCATATCGAGTTTAAGATGTCTAGAAAACATCCGTAGGCAATTGGAAATGCCAGACCAGAAGTCAGGAGAGAAGTAAGGGTTGCCTAAGTAGACAACATGAGCATCAGCAGACAGGTGATCACTGAACTCATAGGAACTGCTGAGATCCTCAAGAGAAGGCGGCCTGGGATAAAGCCCTGGGGGCCTCCCACAGTTAGTGAGTATGTCCTGGATAGAGGTCTAGCAGAAGAGATGGAGAAGGATTGGTCAGGTAGGGAGGAGGAGAACCAGGAAAGAACAGTGTCAGAAGAACCCAGGGAGAAGCGAGGAGGAAGAAGGGGGTGATGGACAGTGTCAGAGGTGCAGAGGGGTGGAGAAGGATGAGGGCGAGAAAGGAAAGCCATTCGCCTCGGTCATTAAGAGATGGCTGGCAGCTGGTCACTTTGGAGAGAGACGTTTCAGTCAAATAATAAAGTGGGAAGCCAGACTTCAGAGTTCAGAAGTGAGGGCAGAGGAAGTGGAGGCCCCTGCTATCACCAGCCTTCCCACGGAATGTCGCCACAGAAGGGATGGGTGGATCAGGTGGGTGGTTTTGAGGATGGAGACCCCGGGGTGAGATTTCTTCTGTCATTAATTTTCAAGCTTCCTTTATCACTGAACTCTATTTCAAAGCACTGTGGTCCCCACGTGGGCTTGATTCCCTGGGTTTCAGAATCTGCTGCACCCAGGCCTTAATGAACTGCCCCTG